ATTTTTCCCAATTCAGATTTTTAAATACATTAGCTTTAACAAAACAATGACACAACTCTCTTCTACATTAGCCCGTTGTGCCAAAGACATTCTGGGATTTGCCATCATGTTCTTCATTGTCTTCTTTGCATATGCACAATTGGGATATCTTCTTTTTGGGACTCAAGTGGAAAACTTCAGCACATTTATTAAATGCATGTGAGTATATTCCCCTTCTCTCCCTTCATTTGCTTCTCTTTTTTAAAGTTTAGTACTATGTCATCCATACTGTTTGTAATATGCTGAAGCTTCACTATACGGGTAACTGTGTGTGTAGAGTCAGAGAATCAACTGAACAGAAAACTGGATTAAATGACCTTATGCTTATGTCTACTATTATACTTCTATGTATGGTTCCTGTTGCATGAAATCACAATCTACAGAACTGTTAATTAGTGCTGAAACATTAAAAGACAAGCACAAAAGAGAAAATGGTAAATGTCACTTTGCCATGTAGATATATTTTATGGTTGTCATTACAAGGTGCACATCAACTTGTGTGCATGGACACACACATGTGCACGGGCACACACACACACTCACATAGGGTAACTGGGATCACTGTTTCTGCAGTAGTCATGCAGAAACAGCAGTCACTAGGAGCACAAAGATGCTAAAGTATCCACTTCTTTTGCCTCCCCGACCAGTGAGTCATTTGACTTCCTTCTCCGAGCCTTTCTCTCCCACCCCATACCTCCATCTTTTCAGTAGATTATTAGTTCTAGTGAATGCTGTAGAACGCATGCTACTGTATTTTTATTTAAAGTACAATAAGGGTCTTAAAGTTTCATTTAAACATATATATTATTAGAGTATTCTGTGCAGTTATGTAAATGTGTACCCAGCCTATATTTGGGCCTCTCAACTAGCCTTAGATCTAAACTCTTAAAAGTACAGTGAGGAAATATCAGGGAGGAGGACCAAAAGAAAGCAACATGCTTTCTCTCTTCTGAAATGTATGTCATACTTGCAAGCCTTAAAACAGTATTACACTATGAAACAAAATAATATAGTGCAATCCAGAGTTCAGCTTGTTCATCCTTTACCAGTTGTAATCTTTTCTCAATTATTTTCCTATGAGCCACCCAATTTCACTCACTTTGTTGTCCAGCTTCACCCAGTTTCGAATAATTCTTGGCGATTTTGACTACAATGCTATTGACAATGCGAACAGGATCCTGGGACCTATCTATTTTGTCACCTATGTCTTCTTTGTCTTCTTTGTACTATTGGTAAGTTGTTGGGTTTTTCTAAATTATTTCCTATTTACAAAGATGGCTTGATTTAGGTTAACATTGCATAAGAGGATCCAAAAATTGTTTCTTCAATTAATTTTTCCCACTTATTTGAAATCCCAAGAAAACAATAGGATGGTTTTGATCACAAGAGATATGTAAATATCTATTAAAGTGATCAGAACTCTAGCTGCTGGGCATTTAAAACAAAAACAAAGAAACCATGGAGGGCAGAAACAGGGCTTGGGCATGGCATAAACACACAAACACACACACCTTTCTGTATTTATTTATTTTACTGGGCTTGCATCATCTCATTTTAGTCATCTAGTTTCCATTCAACATTCTGCTGCTTAGATTATCCTTTTGACCTATTTCGGATCATGGTACTCAAATTTCCACCATCTATTGCCTGTGTATTCCTTTTAGGATTCAGTACAAGCTTCTAGTTTTCACTTTCTCAAAACCCTGCAAAACATATCTCTCCCATTACCTTTCAGCCTGCATTTCCTTTTTTTACTTGTCTGTAGGCTTCTCATTCAACTAAGGATTTGCTCTCCCTTGGTTCACCTTCATTGTTTTTCACTCATTATTCCATGTTCCTAGCATTGCCTTCCTGAACATTTGTGTACTGCTATTTCCCTCATTGTTTTTAAATCCCAGATAAAAGGTGAGTAGTTCTGGAGGGATCTCAGTGTAGGTGGGGGCCATTCCCTCTTTTTATGGCCATGTAGTAAGTT